TCACTATAATAATGGCCGACACTGGCCGACACACACGGTTAGTTGAACTTATCACTTTAACTGACCGTGTGTGTCGGCCTTATGTATGAGAATAAAAGAGGCATTTTCCCTTTTATTGCTCAACTATACACTATCAATGTCAATAATAAGGTCAATACTATTTGTGTGAACGTTTCCAAACATGAGGTCTTTTGAAGCGAAGTTTTGAATATAAAAATTCCATTTATTGAAGGAACAACCGAGCCACAAACTATTGTTAAGTGCTCTCTAGTAAATCCTATCATATTTGTCTGTACTTAGAAGACGACTAAGGGGACTTCCAGAAAAATCTTATGGCTTTTGGTAGATGGCGGAATAACCACCTAGCTTACACCAGATTTAAAATATCCAGACCGGCGATAAGCAGGTGCGAGACGTCTAGTACCGCGGACGTCAATCCACCCGGCAAGTGTGATTAAGGCAAAACCACTCTACAAAGGAAGGCCCATGTCCAGCAGTAGACTTACGGGTCTGATAAAGAAGAAGAAGAGAATATTCTATCATTCTCAATTTATGAAAACTCATACGGAATGAAGTAAAACTTATATCAAATACAAGCCCAATAGCTAAAACAGTAATTTCAAAGAAAAGCGACTACGTAAAACAATATTTTCAGAAAATTACTTTTTAGTAAAAACAGAAAAATTCAAATTTTAATCTATGTCACTTCTACAACTAGAATCTTACGCTCCCCATATTATTAGAAAAATTCATCCTACTCCTTAGGCTACAAAACATGCCACCGAATAATTTAAAATTAAAAATTTTGTACAGCCGAATTCAATATAAGTTATTAAGAATAACTCAAAAACTATTGGCTTGATCTTGATCAAATGCATATGGGACCACACGAAAACTACCAGCTTTCAAATAAAAAAAGAATTATCGAAATCGGTCCACCCAGTAAAAAGTTATGAGGTAACACACATAAAAAAAATACAGTCGAGTTGAGTACCGTCTCCTTTTTGGAAGTCAGCGAAAAAGAAATACATGCATACATATATATGTACATACACTTACCATCTGGGGCCTTAGACCATTCAACCAAGGTTAAATTAAATGGTCTAAGCCTGGGGCAGTTTAATAAAAACTATTAAATATTCTATTGATAAATTATCAATCATCTTTTGGTCGTTTATCTATTCATATTTCATACTTAAAAAGCGACGACGTTAGGAATTCGAAATTTACTAATTACTCAAATCGATCCATTCCAAAGAGTATATAACCACCACGTTTAATCCGTTCGTTCATTCCTCTAGTACCCACTCGTAGCTTTTTATGATATTGTATCTTAACAAATGAATTCGCAGTGGCTATTGTAGCCTAACTCGCGAACACGTCCAAACGATGCTGTGTACAACTTTTTGCGGAAAATGGATGGGTTATTTGATTTAGGTACTAAAAAAATGCCGGAAAAAAATTTCCGACTCATATATTATGTACTCGTAATAGCAAAAAACCTCATATACAGGTTTTCCCGCAAGTATACGGTCGTAACTCTGCATTGATTACTACAGTTGAAAATAATAGTATGAGCTCAATTATTTTTTTTCAAGTCTCTTACCTTACATTTGCCCTTAAAGCGAAACGTCTGAATAGAGTTTTTAATTAATAACTCTCTTATCAGTCAATGCGAACCGAATGAAGTTTTTGTCACATAAAAACTTGATGGAAAACCTTGCTGTTGATCCAATTTCTCTTCTCTAGAAGAGTAGGGACGGACTAGCCCTAATAAAACTCAACTAGTGTATGTTAAGGTTAAAGGTTGAGATTTATCGCATAGCAAAACGTTAATAAATGTGTTATTATGTATTATCTAATGTAATTATTTACTTTGACATTTTTTTTAATTGGTTACGATAGATTATACACAAAACAGTCGTTTGAATTAGCCTTGTTCGTTATATTCGACTATTTAAGTATGTTTATCGATTTCTCAGCAACAACTGAACCGAATTTAATGCTTTTTTTTAATAAATCAGGTCTGGTCCCATATAAAATTTAAGAAAAACTGTGTTAATTGCAATCGAGATTTTAATGTGACTATTAACACGACGTTCTAGCTACTTTGAGCTTGTGATTGTTGAGTTCAATAACAAAAATTAATCGGGATCCTCCTTAGAATATATGGAATCTTATTTAATATTATATATCTTAATCTATTGCTTATATTTCTATTAAGAAAGAAGACACCGACGCACAGACCAATGGACGACAGTCCATATATTTTTCAATTATATATTTTGTTATTTAATCTAAAGTGAATCAATTAGAACATAAACTAATCTTATAATTCAATGTCTGTAGTTATTGTAACGTTAATAATAATATGGATTTGATGTCTAGCTAAAAGTATAAGAACGATTTTGTGTAGCGAAATTGAGGTATGGCTACATATTGAGAAAAGAACACTCCCTCACGTTGTGCGGCGTGTAAAGTATTAATATTAATTGAATTAAATGCATGCGTTTGAAACCTAAGCCACATTCTGCTATTTTACGTTAGTATTCTATAAGAGCGTGGTCTTTCCCAGGTGGAACTGACCCATTCGTATCACATCCATAACACTGCTACATTGGAGATCTACCACGTTAAAGACGTCTACTGTGACAAAGACGTAAGTAACGCAATCCGTAATCATAACAAACAATGACAATCGACAATATAAATTAATCATAACTTTAGTTTCTTTATATAGAGTAAGGGTGACAAGCGAGCACATAGTTCACCTGATACATAGATGTCTATAAGCCACAGCAACCACTTACCATCAGGTGGACTGTGTGCTCGTTTGTCACCCTTATTCTATTTAAAAAAAAACCTTTTATGTGAACTAAGGAATCTTCCAGATACGTATATTTCACAATCTCAATGTCATCTAAAATCTTAGGTATATTAAGAAGTTTATGATATATATCAAAGCGTGTGTGTGGTGGAATTTTTCCTCCAAATTTATATGGGACCGAAGATATCGCGTAACATACAAACATACGGACCGTCAAATTGTAAACCTCGTCCTTTTTTTAAGTCAGCTGATAAAAGTCGGAGGAAAACACGATTTCAACCAGAATTCCGAGGTATTTGAATTTTACGAGTAAAATTCCGGCGTCGGTAATTTTAGAGACGGCAGACCTACACATAATACAAGTAAGCGCAAGTTCGCAAGAGCAGTGAGGTAATTCGAAGTAAGACATAAATGATAAACTCCGCATCGTTACGTATCTGTATTAGTATACCAACCAATAAATATGATGAGATAAAAGAAATCGTTTTATTTCCCACACTTTCAGGTAAATACGTGGTATTTACTTAAAGGTAAATAAAACCGAAGGAGCCGCGATGAATTATAAGAACGCTGAGAATTAAGATGAGATGTCATATTCGATTGCAACTCAGTTGTCATTACTTTTCTTATAAAACATACTTAGTCATCTAATATGTGGGTTCAGTGTGGTTTCTGTCACACCCATCCATTTAGCGACCGTAACTTTTTCGTATAATTATCTTAACAGGTTTTTAATTGACGTCCCTTACTTACGTCATATTATTATATCTCTAGCAAAAAAAACCGCAAAACCATTAAAGAGGGAGTTTTTATAAATTATTTAATTTTCTTGACGTAAGTAGGCGACATTATATTGTGTAGATTATATTTTTATCGTAAAAATACGACCACTACGACCAAAATATTTTATCGTTTTTATTTTTATTATAGGGGCCTCAATATTTTTAGCGAAATGTCGATAACTACTGTTACTATCGAGATTAATAATTATTACGAGTATGTTATTGCATACGCGCAATGTTACGATAGGGTTTGAAAAAACTTCAAAAGAGTGATTTCAAAAAGTAGGTGCGGTTGCGGTTAAAGTCATACGCTGCATAGCTATCAAATACATTAATTTAATGATTCATGATTGCATTCTCACTTAAATATAAAATTTTACGTTTAAATCAACGGAACAACTGACATTTAGATTTCTTTTATTATAATTTATAATACATTATTCCAAATGAATTCTTTTTGTTTCGGGGATACGAATACGATCCAAATGCCATTATTAAGAGGCTTTGACCTGAAGGGAAGTTCGGGAAGGCGGTCTGAAAGATTTTTTTTATAGGATAGGGTGACAAACGAGCACACAGTCTACCTGACGGTAAGTTGTTGCTGTGACTTGTAGACATGTACATTTATCCTCAGTAAAGAATCAAAATGCAGATGCGTCGGCACCCGTGAGGACTAAGATGGAATGCCTCTTTCCCAGTAAAATGGGTCTCCGGTTCTTTACACTCACCATACGAAAAACAGCAGTGTCAAGCTGCCATTTTACGCTGGTATTCTGTGAGAGCGTGGTCCTTCCCCGGTCGAGCAGACCCATTCGTGCTACAACTATACTACTAATATAGCTGCAGCATGGCTCTACCACGTATAATATTTTATGGGTAGATAAGAGCTTAGTTACCCTTTTGTAGTATCTGACTTATTTTCAAGAAAGAGATTAGTTTTTGTACATATACTTTATATATCTACCATTTTAATAAAACATAATATATTTTGCACTTGTTTATAAGGGAAAACAAAGGCAATATGAGTTATTTAATTATTCAGGTCGTGTCCTTATTTTTTATTCATGAACTTGAGGTTGTATGCACGTCACGTGTAATACGGGATACTATATCGTTACACAAGGCTCTTGCGCACACAACGTTGCATACTTCGATCTACAATCGCACCAACAAAAATGATTATTACTTTATAATTAAATATATTACATTATATGAAGTACCAAAAATTTACTAAATACGTAAAAAGATCGGATATAAATACGTAAAGATATCGGGATTAAATTGCATAGCCTAAATATACTTCTAATAACTATAATAAATGTGCTATAAATATAAATAACTGTGCTATTAAAATAAGACAATGAATTATAATAAATTTAAAATTCACTCACGGTTTAACTGTTATTCAAAAGTGATCACAAAATTTCAAAACTAACTAAAACTTTCATTCGTAAATTGACACTATTTTCGAAGAACTTAAAGCGCGCGCGCCTTTCGGTTGACTGTGTTGAACTGATGTCAGTTAGTCGCTTTCAAAGCATTTGGACAGTGATTAAGTTATGCAATTACAACAACATTATTACGATATGCGACAAGAGTACACGTATTATTTACCTATAGTGAATACTCTTGTGCACGTGTCGCTGTACTATTTTCAGGACCTTAAATTTACCAGGCTTTAAATAACCCAACCATCCTAAATCAGTTGTTGTATTTCGGTTTTAAGGGTATAGTACTGCACTAAAAGTATCGGGAATGGAATATTTCCACTGTTCCTGTCATAATAAAATCTTTTTAATTGAAAACTCCTTGGTGTTTTAAAATCGAATACCATTTATTTATTTAAAAAAAGATTCTCGGTCTTGTCACAAGGTTTTGTCAAACTTGTTTAGTCGTTGAGAAAATGGAATTGACTCGAGAAAATTCAAGAGCGATGATTTATTATGACTTTCGAAGTGGTTTAACACAAAAACAGTGTGTTGACCGGATGATTTCTGCATTTGGTGATGAAGCCCCATCCAAAACCACAATTTATCGCTGGTTTGCAGAATTTCAACGTGGACGTGTCAAGCTCAGTGATGATCCCCGTCAAGGTCGTCTAAAAAGTGCAGTCACCCAAGAAAACGTTGATGCTGTGCGTAAGTTGATTGAGGAAGATCGACATGTGACATACCGCGAAATTCAGGCAACTTTAGACATTGGCATGAGTCAAATACAAATAATCTTGCATGAACAATTAGGTGTAAAAAAGTTGTTTACCGATGGATACCGCATTCGCTCTGTGAAGAGCAAAAAGCGGCTCGCGTTACTTGGTGCGTCAGAACTCTCGAAATTTTCCACGCAGGATCCTCAAATGCTGTATACAACATCGTATCAGGTGACGAATCCTGGATATACGCGTACGAACCCGAAACAAAAAACCAGTCACGAGTTTGGGTGTTCGAAAATGAGTTAAAGCCAACAAAAATTGTTCGTTCACGGAGTGTAGCAAAAAAAATGGTGGCCACGTTTGTCTCCAAAACCGGCCATGTTACGACTATTCCTCTTGAGGGACAAAGAACAGTTAATGCAGAATGGTATGCTAGCATTTGTTTGCCACATGTCGTTTCTGAACTCCGTAAAGAGAACTGCAACCGCCGCATCATCCTCCATCACGACAATGCGAGTTGTCACACCGCACACAGAACAAAAGTTTTTAGAGCAAGAAAACATAGAATTATTCATGTACATCCGCCGTACAGCCCCGACCTAAGCCCTAATGATTTCTATACTTTCCCTAAAATAAAGAATAAATTGCGTGGACAGAGATTTTCATCACCTGAAGAAGCTGTGGACGCCTACAAAACGGCCATTTTGGAGACCCCAACTTCCGAATGGAATGGTTGCTTCATTGATTGGTTCCATCGTATGGAAAAATGTGTCAAATTTCGCAGAGAATACTTCGAAAAGCAATAAATACATTTTTAAATAGTAATGTTGTGTCACTTCCTCGATTCCCGAAATTTTCAGTGGCTTACTATATATAATTACATGCAATGAGGCTAAGCATGTTAATCCTTGAATGTGACATTGTTTTCGTAGACTTTTTGTAATTTCTAATAATATAAAGGTTTCCGTATCTCAAAAGAAAAAAAACCAAAACTTTATTAGAAAGTAGTTTAAAAAAAAGTGATATTCAGTCTGTAAATACCAGAACTTTGAAATTGTACGTGGTAGAGCCATGCTGCAGCTATATTAATAAGATATTTGTAGCACGAATGGGTCGGCTCAACGAGGGAAGGCCCACGCTCTCAGAGAATACCAGCGTAAAATAGCAGCTTAACACTGCTGTGTTTCGTATGGTGAGTGTAGAGAACCGGGGACTCTTTTTACTGGAAAAGTGGCATTCCATCTTAGTCCTCACGGGTGACAACGCATCTGCATTTTGATTCTTTATTGAGGATAGATGTGGATGTCTATGGGTCACAGCAACCATTTACCATCAGGTGGACTGTGTGCTCGTTTGTCACCCTATCCTATAAAAAAAGACTGCCTCGTTGGTCTATTGGTCGCAAATGCGGTTACTGATCATGATTACCGGTTATGGGTTCGAAAGCCAGGTCGGGCCAAAAAATCAGTAATTGGGTTTTTCTGTAAAGAAATTTCCAGTAGCAGCCCGGAGTTCTGAATTGGCGTTATTTTACCCCCGTGCCTCGGAAAGCACCTAAAGCCGTTGGTCATGCACTTGATCTCTCTCCTGTCGTGTGAGATAACCCATCGGACTATGAGCGTGAGAGGATGGAGAGTACACTTGTGCTTGCGGGTACACTCCGGTAATTCTGTCCCGCGCAGATGGCTAGTCTCCTTTGATACTGGCCAACGCGACTAAAACTCGGTCTGGAAGATATTAAATACTAAGAACAGACACAAACTAGTAATACCAGTTACAGTTACAGTAATTAATTCTTGGAGCATTGTATACGCTTTTACAACAAAATCCCAGAAAATATACAAAAGTTCTACACCGGTTACTAGTACAAGTTCAAAAACTCAAAGAGTGTCCAAAAAGAGTTATTAGACCAATCATATCCTATACCTATCAAATCGTATCAATGTATTGGATTTAAAAGTCTGATATTCAATCTATATATTTCAACATCTATATCATGGTTAATATCTACGTGATTCTGTAACTCTGTAAGGAAGTCAGTATTCAGTACTAAACGGTGGTGCGCGATTTTTATGGATTTGGTTTGCTTAGATATATAGTTATGTATATTGAATTATCTAAGTGTGTCAATTAATATTGGTATTCGAATCAGTGTGTCATAGATATTTTACGTTACTCGTATTATTATTTCTGCGAGTACGATGTTAGAATGTTCTGTAAAGTGATACTGTACTGCAGAGGTATCGAACTGCGAGTTTCCACTGAAGATATATTCATAAACAACACGTTTAAAATATTTTCTTCTGACAAGGTATCGAATAGCGTTTGCATAGTCAAAGAACATTTTGTAGGGAAATATGTTTGACACTTTATTGTACAAAACATATTTTAAAATATGTTACGTGAAACAATTTTTTTTTTTATAGTAGAGTTTTTGCAGTCCTCGATAATGATATTGAGGTCGTTTTTTCTCCATTTCTTTCCCGAGTCTCATTAGTTTTGCCTGAAAGTAAAAATTCATAATAAACGATGCACTTCCAATCCCGTCATACACATCATCCATCACCTTATTCCCTGTTAATCCGGGTTTCGCTACATTCTGTGGAGCTTGACTACCCTTTGATTGTGATCTTTTTCGCACTTTCTTGTCGTGATGATCCACTTTTCATCACAATTTTTTTCAAAAATGGTTGGTTTTCATTAATTTTCAATAGAGAATCGCAAATGATACACGATTGATACACGATTCATTAGGTTTCTTTTAGTGAGCTTTTGTGGTACCCAAATATCGAGTTTTTTTTTTTATAGCCAGACTTTTTCACATGGGTCAAAACTGGTTTGTGGTCAATCCTCAATTACTCGGCTATGTTGTAACTACTAATATGCCAGTCTTGCTCCACTTTTTCAAAAATAGTATCGACTGATTAGGGCGACTAGAGCGAGTTGCATCTTTGACATAAAAATTCTCGGACTGAAAACGCTTGAACCAATTTTGTGCTACTTTTACTGACACTGCATTAAATTCATAAACTTCAAAAGTTTTTTCGCGCCTTGAGTCGCAATTTTCCCTTTTTTTTGTAATAAAACTTCAGAATGTATCGAATTTTTTCGTTAGATTCACTCATTTGGCGGACAGAAAAACAATTGAAAAACGGCGGGAAAGAGTTTTTTACTTTTTCTTAATGTCTTTTAAGTATTGATATTAAAACCAGTCAGATACAAACAGTACAACCAAAGAGATTTTTCTACAATTTTATACAAACAAATTACGAAGAAACTCTTTCTCCGACCCATTACATACATAGTTAGTCCGCTACCCGATATCATAGAGCAATACAGTAGGGGAGAAGCCATAGCGTTATTTTCTGATAACGAAATGTCTGTCGTTTTTTGCGGGGGGAAATCTGCGTCACGCACACTTTCTCAGACTCCGACACAAAAATAATCATCTGTAATCGTTGCTCTAGTGTTAAATGCCGATAAAATAAAAGTCATGATTATCAAATCCTCATACATGAGGTACTCCAAAACCATTAATTATTCATAATCACGACTGCGACGACTGCCTCCATCAACTACGAACTTGCAAATGTCCTACAATCGAAGTTGTGACCACACGAAAATAACTCGGTCTTATAATTGACTCAAAGTTTATCTGGAGCTACTACATTGAACATGTGTGCAATAAGTTGCGTAAGTTTCTAGCCAATATAAAAATCTTTAAAAAATCGCATACCCTTCAAAGTAAGACTTATGCTTTACAACTCTCAATAAATTGGTAATCTGAGTGGTTCACGATCCTCTTCGGTAAAATATAGGTATCCTTGTAGTGTTTGTAAATACAACATCCACTTCTTTCTGCCTTCCGTCTTACTATTCATAATATTTTGCATCTAATCGAGACAAATTACTATTAACCTTATTTTCTTGTTTTAATTTTTCAATCAATCCAGGTTCGATAAGTATAATTTTCTTTGTATTTTCCATGTTAACTGGCTAGTCCACTTACTAAACCACTCAATATTGCACCTGATATAATTGGTAAGAAAGCCTCTCCTTTTTGTAAAATTTATATATATTTTTTTCAAATACAATTTATTTCTTCTTCATCACACGTTTTAAGTAATGCTCTTTGATATTTTGGTTTAAGCGTATGCAAAGCGTTTAGCAAATGTTAATGCATTGTGACTAGACGATGCATCATTTAGAAATAATTTGAATTGTTTGATTCTTGATTTTTTTATTTATTTATTTTTTTATAGGAGAGGGGGCAAACGAGCATGCGGCTCACCTGATGGTAAGTGACTACCGCCGCCCATGAACAACTGCAACACCAGGGGAATTGCAGATGCGTTGCCGGCCTTT